TATCCCTCGATAAAAATAAATCTTTCATCGATAAGAAAAGGCAAACATAAAAATTTAAGCATTTCAGCGGCATTTCTGGGCCTTAAAACTGTGCTTTGTTAAAGTTGCATTCTTTCATTTATATAGTGTTTTGATTTTTTGATATATGTAAATTATACTTTCACATTACTTCTGACATTTACAGTCAATATCTTGATCTAATGGCTGATGTAATATTCTGATTAAAGAACATTAGGTCTATTTTGTCACATTTTATTCGAGAAATGTGCACATAAGTATAACGAGAAATGCATGCAAAAAACTTACTGATTTAGTTTATGATCTATTTGGCAGTCATTCAAATGTATAAGCAAAGTAATTAATCTAATGATACATTTTATCTGTTATATGATGAGTAGAAATTTTTATGATTGTCTTGTAAATTTATGAGACAAGTAAAGTTGTGAGTCGCTTAGTAGTTATAATAGAAACAATGGGACCTTTTACGTCCAAAGAGAAAATATATTTTATTAATATATGAAAAGCATTATTTAGAAGAGTGTTCATTGCATTTTATGTCAAGGTGTGTTTGTATATAATTAAGACAAAAACTGTATTTTCCCAACTCCATTTTTCATTTCTGATACAGTGCAAGTGCTCATCTAATACAAGTTCATGGAACACACTTCGTGCATTCACGTGGCAATTTCAAACTCCAAAGAATTGTTTTTAAACCTAAATGATTGCTGTTAAATATTCCCTCAAACTATTGAGACTAAATAGGTATCCTACATAGCAGGAAACTGAATGTTATTTTTTGAATATGCCATTGTTATTGAATGATAAAAATGATGTTATTCTAAGATAATGACTGTGTTATTTTTCAATACAAGTATGAAATGTTTGACATCATGTCGAGAACAAGATCTATTGGTCATGAAATCAGCAAGAGATATCATAAAATATGCCAAAGTTAGATGCTTTTGTTCATACACCTTTTAGTCTTTTAAAAGCATTGTCTGAGAGGGAAAGGAAAGAACTATCTTGATCGGATGTGGTAACGATAACAATAATGTTATACCTATCTTATTTTACACATATCATCAGTCTATGATAACCTGTCATATACCAGACGTATTTTCAATGATTGATATTCACAGAGCAATCATAAGAGTATGTATATCCATTTCTGAAGTTCATCGATATTCAATAAAAAGCTATATTTGTCATTTTTTAGAATAGAACAATAGTATTGGGTGTTATGACTTTAAGCACGGGAGCAAAGAATGGAAGATCGCGTGCTCTTGGAGCATTTTGGAAATTCAAATCTTGAAACATAAAGCCAAAAACACATTGATAGATACATAAGAATTTCACTCTTATATAAGCACTTAAAATATCCAAAAACATTGGTATCGAAGGAATATATCCTAAGATTTTATAAAAATATCATTTTGAAGTCATCCTCCCGGCCACAAAAAATAATGAGAAAAAAGAAACTTTGAGTGTCGAAACTTGTAGACTTTTGTATATGAAAGTTAAGATGAGTATCTAAAATAAGGCACATTATTATTATTGTTATAATACAATTTGGACCTCGCAATTACGATCAATCACAAGCCCAACACAAACAATCACAGTGAAATATGAAACAAATAAACGATATGAAGCCAGGTTCAATTACACAACTCTAGCTGTAACGGTTAGAAGGGTTGAAAGAATGTTGGAGTTCAAACGTTATCTATGAAAGATCACAGAAAAACAATTGATATTATGAAAGAAATGATAACATCTACACATCTTTCATAAAGGAAAACGATAAAGTCCTTTGGCAACTTTTCAGGATGTCAAAAGTTAGGAAGGTTAGCTCAGTACAAACACGTTATGCTTGAACATTTACATATATATATCCTCAAGAGAGAAAAGATAACAGTTTTCAAGAAATAAGGTCAAAACAGTGCACATGTTTATGATTAGAAAACTAATCATAGAGACCTATACATATTTTGCTAATGTCTTACGTACCTAACGTAATATAAAAATCAGGGATTTGAACTGAATGACATGCAGTCTTAATCAGTATAGGATATCTTTAACACGGTGTCCAGGGGCTACTACTTTACCTTAAATATATACAAAGGTTGTAAATTGTGACAATACCAACTATTCGATAATGAAATCCTACTCACTGATCACCTATTTATATATTAAGCTTATATAAAACTGTTGAATAACATATACTGTTCAGTAAACAACTAAATTATATGACATAAAAATAAAACTTATTGAATTTCATCGACAATTGTTTAAGTATCATTACTGTATATAATATAACAATACAGTTGCAAAGAAATCAAGAATGTCATTGAAAATAGTCTATGGCAAGGACAAAGAAAACTGATAAACATCAATATCGCGAGGGAAAAAACAACACACAACAAATTAAGTCTTCAAAAAATAACTTCTTTGACCTATGCCGAAACAGGAGCACAAACAAATCTAGTAATCAAAAACAAATTTCTTTGACCTATGTGTTCCCTTTTTTACCCGAGAGTTTCCTAGAAGATTATATCTCTACACTAGACAGATAGATACTTTTATTTCCTCCATATTTGGAGAGCTTCTTAAAGAAACATGCACAATCAGAATAATCTCTATAATACAAATTATGCTTCCATATAGATAACTATTTACAGGAAAACATATGCGTTTCTAAACCAATATTACTCTATTGTCTTATTGCAAGCATAAACTATCCTTTCATCTTTTCATTGTGTAGCGTTTTAACTGAGCTGGGAATATCAAATTACAGAAACTGCTCGCTAACGTTCCCATTTAGAAGAATATTAAATATATTTTGACTGTTATTCAATCTGAGACTGGAGTCTCTAGCGATGCCTAATGTCATAAATTGTTATTTTAGAGATACGAAAATATTGAGGTATACGTATGTCTCTTGGGCTTTATATTTATCTTTTTATATTTATAAAATAAAAATCGCTGTTGATTAAGATTTCTTTTTAAGGCCGAAATTGTAACCTTACTTAAAGAAGAGGAGAGCGAACTTTTAACATTTATTTAAAACAGAACTTAAAAGCTGGGGACTATGGAAGATTAAGACAAAGAACAAAATTTTCCCTCAAGTAGAATTGATAATTATCCTACATTTACGAATTGTTTGACCATATATTTTCATTCTTTCTTCGATTTGAAATGCAGCTCAATTTGAATGCTTATGGTGGTTTGATGCTGCGCGTTTGATTAGTCGAAGTCTTCTTCAACCACTGCAAAATACATTTTCTACACAATAATAAACAAGCCCCAAAAGAGTTTTCATCCCAGGATTTGCTATATTTCTCCGCAACAATTTACTTGTACAAAACAAAAACTTTACATTGATGTTGATGTAAAATGTTGCTGAGCTTTTCAAAAATAAAGGAATATTATACATGTATAGAGAGAGGTTCAATATTGATCAATAATAGCGTATAAAAACATTATCACACCCCTTATCTATGCACTGCTGGTTTCTTGGACTATCTGCCAAAAGAGAAATGATTTCTACGAAAAAGAATTCGCCCATGGGACCAGCGGAATCTTGGAGGAGATATGCGTAAAATGTTGATGGGTTTATAACATTACACTTCTTATGAATGGTAAATGAATCAGGATTCCCTCGGTAAACAAACTTGCACGGCAATGATGATATATTGGTATACTGTAAATAAGTTCGTTTTGGCTGTTGGTATCAAATTATTTTCTTCTTCATACTTATTTAGGATGCAATGTATGTTGTTACTGTACAGACATCGATTAATATAAAACGAGTTAAAATAGTTGTCTTTCAACAAAGCTATATCTAAAGCGGTGCAATATTTGAAGAAGCTTGTTGATCATACAGATCACTGCTTCACTGGATGGTGTTAACGCCATTATATGATGTCCAGAATATACAGGAATCCGTAAAAGAGGTATTTTAATAGGAAGACAAAAGTGATAATTTAATACAATATAAAGCTCACATTTAAGTGACATTATGTTTTTTTTTCATTGGCTTTATATCGCAATTGTATTTTCAGAGATAGATTGTTTTTACGTATTTGCTGACGAAATTAAATAGACAATGGATTTTCGTTTAGACTGTAAAGAAAGGTCACCTGGCACTATGAGACAAACACATATTAAAGTAGCCTCGTACCAGAAACTATTACATAAAACAACGTACATCGAAGACAAAATGAACAGATATGAAAGACAGTATGATAATAAAACAAAATAAAGAAAAGGACGAGAATGTAAATAACACCGACAAAGACGAATGACTTAACACAGCAACTGTTGGAAATACCAGCTCGACATATAATCACTGGCCAGTATGGCGAGAACAATGGCATTATCGTAAATAGTAAAAGGCAGGTTAATCGAAAGAACCAGCCTCAAGATAATGAACGATTTTCTCGCCTAGTAGCTGCGAGTCCATAAAAACCTTTAATCAATCTGAAACAAAATGAAGCGTAAGACACGCGGTAGACATACAATTGCTGGAGCATCTAAAATCGTTGCCAGGAATAAAAGAACGTGAATAATGATTGTCTATGTTTATAATAAGCAACAGTGTTTACATGTTATGTAAGATTTTTATCTGTGATGAAAGAGGTAAGTAAAATGTAAGCATAAACTTCAGTGCTTTATCATAAGTCGACTGTTCTTGCATTGTGATTTTCTAGAGAGTTATCAATACTGTTACACAACGGCTATCTTCATGCCAATATAGATGTCTGATGAAGTAAAAAAAAAAACGTCATTGAAATTGACTAGACTAGAATTTGCTTATCATTCCAGAAGCAACCAAACGATAATACAAATCAATAACATAAATATAATATCAGATTTATTTGATATCCCTTAGGACTATAAGAAAACATTAACAAAAAGCAGCATTGCATTCCGGCGGCAAGGCAACGTAAAGGCCAAAGATAAAAGCTTAGATATAACACCTTTGCTGAAGCAATGTGACTCACCTTCCTTATTAGCCTCAAAACTGTCGTGTGCTGTAGTGTGTTCCACGTGGTAGACTATCATCCTACTTGATCCGACCACTTGATGAAGATTCATTTTCTCTATAGCTGCTTTAAATGCCAGTTCTTGTGCCACGTGCTCCGGTTCAAATAACCCAGCTGAAATATAACAATGACAGACATAGAAATACATCTTACTTTAAATAACAGGAAATGGCATATATAATAAGTATCACATGAGGATTACAATTAGGCCGATTTTTATGTTATATCAAAAAAAAAGTGCAACGATTGAAGAACGTTTTATTTTATTTGTTTTTGCATTTTCATTTCTACAACTGGCTTAAAAGCGTTGTTAACTAGCAACATTGTGTTGAATGTCTAATTTGAGGTAACCTTAATGGTTTTATTTTTCAAACTCTTCTAGCAGAAGATAGACCATTTAGCTTTTAATTACTCTGGAAATGTAGTAATGTAATGAGATATCATATGAACGTGATATTCTAAAATAATAATCATAAATGATACAAATTCAGTTCATGACGTCAAATCAGTATTAAAAGTTATGACAGCAATATAAGAAGAAAATAGTTTTGTGTCATTTGTCCTCTTTCTTGATGTAAGTATTCAATTGTATCATAAATTACTTTGTCTCAAATATACATGTATTATGAATAAGTTAGGATATGATTAACAAATTCATTATATACCTGTACAGATATTTTTTTATATTCAATGCTTGTATGACAGTCACTAAAGCGAATCGAGTAGAAACAAATCTGCATTGCACTCGTGTGTGATTCAGAATGACATTATACCAATTCATTAACGTTACATTTTTTCATGTAGTTAAAATTCGACAAGGCATCAAATAATGTATGTGACATGATTGTGTAGGATATCTTGTATTTGACTATTAAGAATTTTGGGATATCTTGTATTTGTCTCTCGTGAATTGTACCGGAACAAATATCACTTGGTTTGGATCCTACCCTTATAAAATCCTCTTGAGTGATATACAAGTTCAAAATCACAATACTATTATAACAACAATGACTTTTTATTACATGTAAATCATACTATATATTTTTATAAAGACAGTAGCAATTAAGTGTATTATAATGCATTTTTTTTTCTAAAAAAACTGTTCCTAACGTTGTTGCATGGCGGCTTTGTAATCTTGAGATATAGTCAATCCATGTCCTTTTATAAGAAAATAGAGAATGAATTAAAAAAGCAAAAATATGAAAGATTGCTGGAAATACAGATATGACCTTCTGATATTTCTGAAATAAAGAAATGGCCATATTTCATGACAGAATCTGATATAAAGGACATATTTATCACAGCATATCCATAAAGATCAACTAAATGATCTTGTGTTGTGGTATTTTACGAGAAAAGCTTACTTTATTGTATCTTCTGGGAATGAGTTTTACGGTATTGACTTAATAGGGAATTTCAGATCGTATAGGGACGTTTGATGCAGAGTTATGAATGTTACGATTTTTGGGCATTTTCCGTCTTATTAGATATCCTATTTCCGAGAATACATGTAAATCTTGTAAGAACGTATAAAACAGTACAAAGAGAAAATGAATATGCCGAATAAATAGCAAAAGATGTTATATAAAATGAATGCTGGTCTGTCTGTCGCTATCAGTGATTGTCTGACACAGCAACCTACCATTTAAAACATGTTGAAAGTGAACACACCAATGATACACAGCCACAACAAAACTATAAAGCTGGCAATAGTCAGGAATAGTACAGCTATGAACTTATGCTTGAGGGCTTTCCGGTTCAAAATGATATCAAATGTTCACCTTAAAGAGATTAAATTTATATAATTTTCTTTCCAAAAAAACGATTTTACGATGGAGAGCAATTATTGCAATGTCTAAATTGCCATTGCATTGCTAAGGGGCGGCGTGGAGGTAACTTGCACTTTCCAGTATCATTATCGTCGATGAACAGATCAAATCAAACCGATCATGCAACATCGTATAGGGCGTTCTTTAGGGATTCCTTTTTTCTCTGTTTCGCTAATAATATTAAAGACATATGAATCATAGTTTAAAATACATGTAATTCACACCCATCATTTTTGGGGAAACTATTTTTTTTTAAAAAGTACTGACTATAGTGAGCAGTGCAGCCCATGCAATGCTGCTCCTGGTCAATACTGGCAACAGACTAACTGTTAAACAATGGTTTTAAGTACTAGTACTTCTGAATGTATGTTTTGTTGACAATTTGATCAGTATAACATGTATATATGTACCTTAACATTTTGCCTTTGCAAGTTGATTTAATAATAAGTAATTGATCTTTAGAGTATAATCAAAACCAGATGTACCGATTAAAATATTCCACATAGGAAATGAGATGTTCAGATGAATAAACTGAACGTGGAACACGTGCAAAAAAATCCGAAATCTCCAAAATCATCCCAAGATATTTGTGAAATTAATGTTCCCCATATATTTTGACAAATATACGTTCTGGTGGACATATTTATAAAAAGATATACATTCGAGATCAGCTGAATAGCTATATTCCGGGGTATTTTATGGGAAGAAACAAGATTTATTGTATTTTATATATTGTTTCAATTACTGTGCATTGAAGTTCTGTGTGTATTTGGGAAGCTATTGTCTGATATTGGATTGGCTTGTATAAGATTTAATCGAATAAACCATGTTGTGATGTATCATAGTAGCGCAATTTGGCAAGAAAACAGAAAAGCTATGCATTATTAAGATGGTTCCGCAATAACGCGGATAAATATTACGCTAACTTTAAAGATTTCGTCATTTTTTTTTTAATTTTCTAAAACATTGATATTGTTGAGCTTTTTATTAAGAAGAAACTAGTGCACTGTTGACAACAAATATAGACAAGAAACATGGCAATGCCACGAAACCAGGTTTTCAATTATCACCATTGTAGATAAATATGTTGTATTTGAAATACAAATACAAGCAACAAACAATGTAACTATGTGCAATGTAAAACATGAATAATGTAGGAGGAACTGCCACAGAAGAAATTGTTCACTATATATTCTATATAAGGAAAAAAAATCAAAGGGCCATAATTAGGTCAAATATTATCCAATCACAAAACCCCGACAATATGCGCCAGGGCACTTGATGACAAAGCTTCTGTGAGAGTTTGGTCAGAATTATTTGAGAAATGTAAGAGGAGTTGCGCACAGAAGAAATTGTTTACGCCCACCCGCCAAGTTGATAATTATGATGGGATTCTGATAAGGAGAATGTAAATTGAACGTAAATATTCACAAGATTTTAAACATTTTTAAAGATTAGGTAACTTGTTTATCATGTTTTAAATCATGTTTTCTTTTTCAAAATTAAAAGTTACAGATAATCAAAGCGACCAAACGGCCACGTCGTAAAACATCGTTACACGGTGTCCTCATTTGAGTTCAGTAAATTCTTTAAATAGTAACAAAAGCATATATGACACTGTCAGTTATTGTTTAATAAAACTGCAATAATGTTGGCTTAACGCTTAATAAAAGAGTAATCTGGAAAAATTAATATAGAATTCCGCTTGTGCTAGTGTACTAAATGAATGTTCCAACACATGGTTTACAGGTTTATTAAACAACAAATATAAGTATTATGACAATGGAAAATAAGTATTTAATCACAATTAGTGAATGCCTAATATAAATATATAAATTAGCATTAATGAAAAACAGGTTGAAAATACATTACACATGTCTTTAATGGGAAGGAAAATATACAGGAGATTGATTGTTTATACTTATTTCAACAACTGCTTTTAGGAATTGAATGTGATGATCTGTTTTTTCAAGACAATTAACAGTTGTTTCCGCGGTGTGTAGTTCCGCGCCATTTTCGTTGTTATTAATGCAAACTGTTAACCATTTATCTAGGTATATCTATCATACAAAGCTGAATAATGCAATAGTTATTGTATGCAGGCAAAATATTGTACGTCCAAGAAAAATAGCTGCTACCCAAGTCACTATTTTTGGAGTTAATTCTACTACATTTGATGTTTGATGTAAGAGCGAAATCTATCCCAAATACTGTTATCTTCATGTAACATCATGATCGAAAATTTAGATCTTTGGGCTATATTTATTTCTTACATCTAGCATAAATTGGTATTTCATTATTCAAGTGCTTATTTTGCTTTTTGCATGTCAATTAAATTATAAAGAAAATTGATCCCCAAACTGACTGCCACTTTCGGCAAGAAAGGTAAATATTAGGTACTACCTATTAAGATAAAAGTACATGCTTTTTTCTCTAATTTAATCAATGATTTTAGTAATTAAAATGTATCTAAAGTGGATTTGTATATAATGGGCACAGCCAAACGACAAACAAACAAAATCCTTACATTATAGACCAAGAACTATAAAGCAAACAGCACATTTCCAATGCCGTCAAAATATAATGGTTGTAAGATCGACCATCAGACGATGATTTAACCCGAGCTGGAATCTTAAAATAACCACTAACCTAACGTAAGAAACTGTGATGTGACCTTTTCAAGTTGTATTAATATGTCTCAGATAGATGTCTCTACCCTTAATGCGTTGTAGGAATTTCCCTATTGTGTATTGATTAAGACCGGTTTTACGGCCAGTAGACATAAGACGGTTATTTATAGTTAAACGAAGGATGTAAACTAACATGTTGTGCATGATTAGAGTTGTTTGATAGTTTGTTTTGATAGGATAATAACAGAGGTGGTCTATTGACCAAAACTTGTATCATAAATCATGTGTAATAACCGATTATTACATTGGACAGTAATGGCAAACATATGTTACCGTAGTTGGCATAATGTACATAGTGGTGTCGCCTACATGACAATTTTATGGTCGTGTCTGTTCGCACCAGCTCGCAACAAGAAGTCGCAAATTTAGATATAAAGATACAGTAAGTTTTATCAGCCATTTTCATAAGTACGACATTGTTTAACATTCATTTGTATTATAGTTTGCGGACCTTTCTGTTGAAAATGTGTCAGATATTAAATTCACAGTGCGTTAACTGGAGTGCAGGTATTATTTACCCGCACTCCAGAGCATGCTCATTGATTGGCTTATTTTGTCTGGGTTTTTCTTATTAAGGGATAGCGATATAGCCATA